TCCAAAGTTCCAAATTCCCCAAAGCACCATGCAGAGTTTAAAGTTTCAAATCCCCCTGAAAACCATGCATGCTTTCATAGTTCCAAGTTCCCCAAAATGTATTTGCTAAATTCAAATTTTCAAATTCCCCAAAATGCCCAGCAAAGTTCAAAGTTCCGAATCCTCCATTTAGCCTCGCAGATTCGATAGATCCAAACTCCCTAAAAGCCCTGTAGATATCAACTACACAAGTTAAAATGGAAAGATACAGAAAGTTGGTAGTATATATATTTTTATTAAACTACATGATTATAGTAAAAAGGTACATATGTAAAAAATGTTCTTTAAAGTTATAATCTCTTTTGGACAATCATCCAGGTAAAGAAGCTCTACTTCTGGAATTACACCAACCAGAAGTGCAACTTAATGATCCTCACAGATCAAGAAAAACACAAAGCTAAAATTCAAGTTGATCTTTAATTCTAATCGTGTACCTCTTAAATCACACAATTAGAATTCAAGATCAACTTGAATTTTAGTTTTGAGTTTTTCTTGATCGGTGAGAATCATTTATTTGCATTTGTGCTTGGTGTAATTCCAGAAGTAGACGTTGATGACCTGAATCGATTGCCCAAAAGAGATTGTATGTTTAAGAGCATTTTTGACATGTACCCTTTATTATAATCATGTAGTTTATTAAAAAAACATATACTACCAACATTTCTATATCTTCCTTTTTAACTTCTGTAGTTGATGTCTGTATGAATTTTTGGGGAGTTTGGATCTTTGGAATCTGCGAGGCTAAATGGAGGATTCAGAACTTTAAACTTTGAATGACATTTTTGGGAACTTGGAATTTTGAATTTAACAAAGACATTTTGGGCAACTTGGAGTTTGAAGCATGCAGGTTTTCAGGTGGATTTGGAACTTTAAATTTGCATGCTCTTTTGGGGAATTTGAACTTTGAAATCTGTATGGCGTTTCGGGGGATATGAGACTTCGAATTCAGCAAGGTGTTTTGGTAATTTGGAACTTTGAAACTTGTAGGGCTTTTGGGGGATTTGGAACTTTGAATTTTGCAGGGTGTTTTGAGAAATGTGAAACATTAAAGTCTGTAGTGATTATTAGGGGATAAAGAACTTTGAAATCTATAAGGTTTTTTGAGGAATTCGTAACCGAATTTGATTGTCTACTCATTCATGCCATTAAGTTGTCATAATATAGACGAATATTATCTATCTCAAGTCAAGTGTTTATGATAAAGTGTAGGAATATAGGATCGATTTCTATGTTAAAAGCGTTAAAGAAAGTTTTGTCCATTAGTGAACTTTTGTTGTCATTTAGACCACTTTATATGTTTTTTTTGCTAATGAACACTTCATTATGCAAAACTTTGGACTTGAATATGAAGTATATTTCAATATGAAAACCGAAGGTTCTAGGTTAGTGTCTGATATTTTATCTTTCATTTCATAAATAAATCATATAACCTGTAAATATGTTTAGTAAAAATGTCAAATAACACCTCAAATTTATAACTTTCTTTTATTCCAAAATAGGGTAGAAGCGATAAGACATATTCTATTACAATTAACATTAAAAAATTAACAATAAAGATTATTTGTAAGAGTGTAATACACATGTAATCCTGAGGAAGTCATGATGAGCAATATTAAGTGGTAGCATCTTGAAACTAATGTAAAAAATATTTGGAAATTAGACCTTGCAATTTTCATTATGATGAAAAGCAACAATGAAGATATAGAAAATAAGAAAATGTCCAATTAATACCCTAAGTGTAGCAACTAGTAATGTGCATATGAGTGAGAGAAAAAGAGAGAGAGTGCCACACATGACTTAAAATTATTATGACTTTTCTCAAAGAACCATAATGGAGAAAAACATTGTAGTCTAGTATTGGATTTTCGTAAATAAGGTTTTGCCTTCTTAGGTTATATTGTAGTATTTGCATTTGCCAAAATTTTCCACTAGGTAAAAGGTGTAATGTATATCTTGCTCATGTAGGTTGATACCAATGTACTTAACATTTATTGATTTTATTTCATTATATGGTTTACTTTTTATTTTAGGTTAATACTAAGAAACTTATCATGAATTCATTATAATTTATATTCTTTACCTCTATCAAGGACCTAGCTTCAAATTTTCATTCTAACTAAAACAAAAAGGTGGTAAGACTAATACTTGGAGCTTATAGAAACATAACATAAATCACCAAAATATAATATCAATACGCTTAAATAATACTAAAAAAATGAGAAGTATAAACTCATTGACACAATGTTTTTCTCCATTATGGACAAAACCAACTGCAAAATTTACAACAACAATCAAGTTAATAGGATTACATTAGTATTTACAGGTTATATGATTTATTTATGAAGTGAAAGATAAAATATCAGAGACTAACCTAGAATCTTCAGTCTCCGTATTGAAATATACTTCATATTCAAAACCAAAGTTTTGCATAATGAAGTGTTCATTAGCAAAAAAGCCATATAAAGTGGCCTAAATGACAACAAAAGTTCACTAATGAACAAAACTTTCTTTAAGACTTTTAACATGAGATAGATAATATTCGTCTTTATTATGACAACTTTAAGGCATGAATAAGTAGGCCACCAAATTCGGTTCCAAATTCCTCAAAAAACCTTATAAATTTCAAAGTTCTTTATCCCCTAATAATCCCTACAGACTTCAATGTTTCAAATTTCTCAGAACACCTGCAGAGTTCAAAGTTCCAAATCCCCAAAAGCCCTACGAGTTTAAAAGTTCCAAATTACCCAAAACACCTTGCTGAATTCAAAGTCACATATCCCCCAAAAGACAATGCAGATTTTAAAGTTCAAATTCCCCAAAACACCATGTAAAGTTTAAAGTTCCAAATTCCCCTGAAAACCTGCATGCTTCAAACTTCCAAGTTCCCCAAATTCTCTTTGCTAAATTGAAAATTCAAAATTCTCCAAAATACCCTGCAGATTTCAAAGTTCTGAATCCTCCGTTTAGCGTCGCAGATTCCAAAGATCCAAACTCCCCAAAAGCCCTGCACATGTCAACTACACAAGTTAAAATGGAAAGATATAGAAAGGTTGGTAGTATATATACTTTTATTAAACTACATGATTATAGTAAAAGATACATATGTAAAAAATGCTCTTTAAAGTTATAATCTCTTTTGGATAATCATCCAGGTAAATAAGCTCTACTTCTGGAATTACACCAACCACAAGTGCAACTCAATGATCCTCACAGATCAAGAAAAACACAAAGCTAAAATTCAAGTTGATCTTTAAATCTAATCGTGTACCTCTTAAATCACACGATTAGAATTAAGGATCAACTTGAATTTTAGTTTTGGGTTTTTCTTGATCTGTGAGAATCATTGAGTTGCACTTGTGCTTGGTGAAATTCCAGAAGTAGACCTTGATGACCTGAATCGATTTCCCAAAAGAGATTATAAGTTTAAGAGCATTTTTGGCATATGTACCCTTTATTATAATCATGTAGTTTATTAAAAGAACATATACTACCAATATTTTTATATCTTCCTTTTTAACTTGTCTAGTTGATGTCTGTATGACTGTTTGGGGAGTTTGGATTTTTGGAATCTGCAAGACTAAATGGAAGATTCAGAACTTTGAACTTTGCAGGGCATTTTGGGGAATTTTGAAATTTGAATTTAGCAAGACATTTTGGAGAACTTGAAAGTTTGAAGCATGCAAGTTTCAGGGGGATTTGGAACTTTAAACTTTGCATGGTGTTTTGGGGAATTTGAACTTTGAAATCTACATGGCGTTTTGGGGGATATGAGGCTTTGAATTCAGTAATGTGTTTTGGGTAATTTGGAACTTTGAAACTTGTAGGGCTTTTGGGGGGATTTGGAAATTTGAACTATGCAGAGTGTTTTGATAAATGTGAAACATTAAAGTCGGTAGCTATTATTAGGGGATAAAGAACTTTGATATCTATAAGGTTTTTTGAGGAATTCGGAAACGAATTTGGTGGCCTACTCATTCATGCCATAAAGTTGTCATAATAAAGACGAATATTATCAATCTAAATACAAGTGTTTATGATAAAGTGTAGCAATATAGGACTTGTTTCCATGTTAAAAACCTTAAAGAAAGTTTTGTCTATTAGTGAACTTTTGTTTTCTCATTTAAGCCAGTTTATATGTGTTTTGCTAATGAACACTTCATTATGCAAAAATTTGGCCTTGAATATGAAGTGTATTTCAATATTGAGACCGAAGGTTCTAGGTCAGTCTCTGATATTTTATCTTTCACTTCATAAATAAATCATATAACATGTAAATATTAATGTAATCCTCTTGACTTGATTGTTGCTGTAAACTTTGCAATTTGTTCTGCTGGTCAAGGGTATTATGATACAATGCAAGTGATAAGCTTTTGAATGCAAAGTGAGAGGACTGTTGGTCTTGCAATTGTGTCAATGAGGTTATATTTCTCATGTATTTTAGTATCATAATACCCTTGACCACGAGAACAAACTGCAAAATTTTACAGCAACAATCAAGTCAAAAGGATTACATTAATATTTACATGTTATATAATTTATTTATGACCAAAGGGCTTCTAGCCTAGCGGCATCAGGTGTTTCCCTCCTTCCTTGAGGTTGAGGGTTCAAGTCTTGTTGGAGACATAGTGGATTTAGGACTAGTTTAGGATTATATTGTATTTGTTGTTCAAAATAAAAAAAAATATAATTTATATATGAAGTGAAAGATAAAATATCAGACACTAACCTAGAACCTGCGGTCTCTATATATTCATATTCAAGGCCAAAGTTTTGCATAATGAAGTGCTCATTTGCAAAAAGCATATAAAATGGCCTAAATGACAACAAAAGTTCATTAATGGACAAAACTTTCTTTAAGGCTTTTAACATGCAAACCGGTCCTATATTTCTACACTTTATCATAAACACTTGACTTGAGATAGATAATATTTGTCTTTATTATGACAACTTAATAGCATGTAGGCCACCAAATCCGGTTCCAAATTCTTCAAAAAACCTTATAGATTTTAAAGTTCTTGATCCCCTAATAATCCCTACAGATTTCAATGTTTCAAATTTCTCAAAACACCCTGTAGAGTTCAAAGTTTCAAATCCCTCCAAAAGCCTTGCAAGTTTCAAAGTTTCAAATTACCCAAAACACCTTGCTGAATTCAAACTCTCATATCCCCCAAAACGCCATGCAGATTCCAAAGTTCCAAATTCCCCAAAACATCATGCAGAGTTTAAAGTTCCAAATCCCCGTGAAAACCATGCATGCTTCAAATTTCCAAGTTCCCCAAAATGTCTTTGCTAAATTCAAATTTCCAAATTCCCCAAAATACCCTGCAGAGTTCAATGTTCTGAATCCTCCATTTAGCCTCGCAGATTCCAAAGATCTAAACTCCCCAAAAGCCCTGCAGATATCAAATACACAAGTTAAAAGGGAAGATATAGAAAGGTTGGTAGTATGTGTACTTTTATTAAACTACATGATTATAGTGAAAGGTACATATGTCAAAAATGTTCTTTAAAGTGATAATCTCTTTTGGACAATCGATCCAGGTAATAAAGGTCTGCTTCTGGAATTACAACAACCACAAGTGCAACTCAATGATCCTCACAGATCAAGAAAAACACAAAGCTAAAATTCAAGTTGATTTTTAATTCTAATCGTGTGATTTAAGAGGTACACAGTTATAATTAAAGATCACCTTAAATTTTAGTTTTGGGTTTTGCTTGATCTGTGAGGATCATTGAGTTGCACTTGTGCTTGGTGTAATTCCAGAAGTAGACCTTGATGACCTAAATCGATTGCCCAAAAGAGATTATAAGTTTAAGAGCATTTTGACATATGTACCCTTTATTATAATCATGTAGTTTAATAAAAGAACATATACTACCCACATTTCTATATCTTTCATTTTAACTTGTGTAGTTGATATATGTATGACTTTTTGAGGAGTTTGGATCTTTGGAATCCGCGAGATTAAATGGAGTATTCGGAACTTTGAACTTTGTAAGGCATTATAGGAATTTTGAATTTTGAATTTAGCAAGACATTTTGGGGAACTTGGAAGAAGCATACAGGTTTCAAAGGGATTTGGAACTTTAAACTTTGCATGGTGTTTTGGGGAATTTGAACTTTGAAATGAGCATGACGTTTTAGGGGATATGAGACTTTGAATTCAGCAAGGTATTTTGGGTAATTTGGAACTTTGAAACTTGCAGAGCTTTTGGGGGGATTTGGATATTTGAACTCTGTAGAGTGTTTTGAGAAATTTGAAACATTAAAGTCTGTAGGTATTATTAGGGGATAAATATCTTTGAAATCTATAACGTTTTGTGAGGAATTCGAAACCGAATTTGGTGGCCTAATTATTCATGCTATAAAGTTGTCATAATAAACACGAATATTATCTATCTCAAATCAAATGTTTATGATAAAGTGTAGCAATATAGGACTCGTTTCCATGTTAAAAGCTTTGAAGAAAGTTTTGTCCATTAATAAACTTTTGTTGTTATTTAGGCCACTTTATATGTTTTTTTGCTAATGAACGCTTCAATATGCAAAACTTTGGTCTTGAATATGAAATATATTTCAATATGGAGACAAAACGTTGTAGGTTAGTGTATGATATTTTATCTTTAATTTAATAAATGAATCATATAACTTGTAAATACTAATGTAATCCTCTTGACTTGATTGTTGCTGTAAATTTTGCAGTTTGTTTTGTTGGTCAAGGTTATTATGATACAATGCAAGTGAGAAACTTTTGAGTGCAAAGTTAGAGGATTGTTGGTCTTGCAATTGTGTCAATGAGGATATATTTCTCATGTATTTTAGTATTATTTAAGCGTATTGATATTATATTTTGGTGATTTATGTTATGTGTTGCTATAAGGTCCAAATATTAGTCTTACAACCTCTTTGTTTTAGTTAGAATGAAAATTTAAAGCTAGGTCCTTGATAAAGCCATAAAGGTAAAGAATATAAATTATAATGAATTTATGATAAGTTTCTTCGTATTAGCCTAAAATAACAAATAAGCCATGGAACGAATAAATGTTAAGTACATTGGTATCATCCTACATGAACAAGATATACATTACACCTTTTACCCAATAGAAAATATTGGCAAATGCAAATACTACAATATAACCTAAAAAGGCAAAACCCTATGTACCAAAATCCATTACTAGTCTGTAACGTTTTTCTCCATTATGGCTATTTGAGAAAAGTCATAATGATAACTAGTCATGTGTGGTTCTCTCTCTCTCTCTCTCTCTCTCTCTCTCTCTCTCTCTCTCTCTCTCTCTCTCTCTCTCTCTCTCTCTCTCTCTCTCTCTCTTGACTAGTTGCTACACTTAGGATATTAATTGGACATTTTCTAATTTTATATAGCTTCACCGATGCTCTTATCTTAATGGAAATTGGACATGACTAGTTGCTACACTTAGGGTATTAATCAGACATTTTCTTATTTTCTATATCTTCATTGTTGCTCTTCATTCTAATCGTGTGATTTAAGAGGTAACCCAAAACTACATGATTACCTTTCTTTTTTTGTTTTTTAGTCTTTCGAGATTTTCATTTATTAATGGATCAACAAATGAATCGGTTGGTATCTCAAGAAGACGGGTTACCTAATGGAGCTGAAGTAGTTTATATTTCTTATGGAATGGTAGTAAACTTTTATAACAAATTCATTTTAGCAAAAAAAAAACTTTATAACAAATTAGCAATTTTAAATCAGCTTATTATTCCAATCATCTAACATTCTTTTTTTTTTTTTTTTGATAATCTTAAAAGGGTGGGACCGTGAAATATTTTATTTTTGCTACAATATTGAGGTACTTTCTTCTTGAACCTTAACCCTTACACTTTTAACATAAATAATAAAAAATAACATTTCCTTTTAATCTTTTATCAGGTTAACCCCTCACATTTTGAAGCAGTTCATGTTGTCCAAGCCTCCCGTAAAACACCAAAACTTTTTTTTTGTTTGTTTTTTTACCTTCAACTTTTTAATTATAGTTTATTGATTTTTAACTATATCCATGGGTTGTCTAACTTAACAACCTAGCTTGTTAACTTATACAACTTAGGGATTTAATGCATAAAAAATATGTTCTTGTTTTCATGGACGGAGCATATATAGGGCCAGGGGGGGGCTGTGGCCCTCCTAATTTTTTTTTATATATAGTCCATAAGTATTGAAAAGGTTACATATTATGCCCAAAACTATAAAATTTGACTTTGCCCCCCCCCCTGTTCTTCAATTTATATACGTATTCTATTTTCGGCCCCCCAAATTATAACTTCAAGCTCTGTCACTGCTTGTTTTAGAGGGACAACTTTAGAAACAAACAATGTTCCAAATTGAAACTGCGCTACATTTAATGCACAAAACTTCTACTAAAAATATATAGCAAAAATGTTAAACAACCCCCAAATTTATAATTTATTTTATTTCAAAAGAGGATCCGACATATGAGACATGCTGTTACAATTAACATTAAAAACTTAATAATAAATATTATTAACAATAGTGCATCTAGAAACTAATGGAAAGAATCTTTGGAAATTAGACCTTCCAATTTCCATTATGATCAAAAGCAACAAAAATGAAAATACAAAAAATGTTCAAATTAATACCCTAATCATAGCAACCAGTCATGTTTGTTTGTGTGAGTATGTGTGAGTGTAAGTATGTGCGTGTCATTATGACTTTTCTCAAAGAACCCAAATAATACTAAAAGACATAAGAAATAATACCTCATTGACACAATTGCAAAGCAAGCAATCCTCTTTCTCACTTTGCATTCACAAGGTCCTCGCTTTCATTGTATCATAAAACCCTCAACCAACAGAACAACCTGCAAAATTTACAGCAATGGTCAAGTCAAGAGGATTACATTACTATTTACAGGTTATACGATTTATTTAAGAAGTGAAAAATAAAAAATCAGAGAATAATAATGAAAGAGCTCATATTAGAAATTTGACAAGATACCATGAGCATTTTAAGTTCTTACATTAGATTCATAAATACTAGAGTCTAGAGTGGGTGTCCATATAATAAGCAACAGGCATGTAAGTTATACAGTTCAACTAACATGCACCTAACTTATACATTAACTATTAGTCTGTTACATTAAAGAGCATAACATAGTACTTTCGGGAACTAGTTTCCATAAGAACACCAAAATATTTGTCCTACATAGAACATACACTATCAAATTTTGCATAGTTTGAGTTTCCCTAAGTGGTTAAGATGTATTCATGCAAGACCTGAAACCATTTACTTCTGGGATGACAATTGACATGTAATCTCATTGAAAGATTATTCTATTAAAGCCTACTTTACAGAAACATAACTTCTGGTTTTGGTTACTATAAAAATCATGAGGGAAATAATGATTACGAGGAACTGAGGAAGCAATCTACCTTGTTCACTGATGTTGGTTGAAGATTTTTCAACTCAATCTTCATCAAACTTTCAGATCCAAAAGCTTCCTTGTTTGAATCGCCTTTTTCACTTCTACTTTCCACTTTTAACACAACGATTTTCTTATTCCTTGGATCTGTGACATTTGCGAAATCATCATTTGGACTTCGATTGTTAAACGTCGTTTCCGGAAGAAATGAACATACGGTGTTCTCCATACCAGAACAGATCGTAGATCTTTCTTTCTTTTTCTATTTTTAGTATAGGTGAACCAAAACTATTAACATTCGGATCTAGCGAGATCTTCATGATTGACTATAACGATGACTGAATCATCAATCGGATTCATAAAAAAGAAAGAAATTGATGAAGATTGAGCCATCGATCTGTGAGAACAGGGATTGATTCATAAAAAAGAAAGAGTTTGATGAAGATTGAGCATCAATCTGTGAGAACAAGCATCAATTCATAAAAAAAAAAAAAGAGCTTGACGAAGATTAAGCATCAATCTGTGAAAACAACTATTGATTCATAAAAAAGGTAACAGCCTGATAAAGATTGAACATCAATCTGTTAAAAACATGTACTGATTAATAAAAAAGAGAGCTTGATGAAGATTGAGCCATCAATCTAGTACAAAAATTGATTCATAAAGAAAAGGTTAGAGCTTGATGAAGATTGAGCATTAATCTGTGAGAACAAGCACCGATTCATAAAAATAAATAAATAAATAAGAGCTTGACGAAGATTGAGCATCAATCTGAGAAAACAACGATTGATTCATTAAAAAAAGGTAAAATTGAGCATCAATCTGTTAAAAACAAAATCAATCTAGAACAAAATTTGAGTCATAAAAAAGGTAAGAGCTTGATGAAGATTGAGCATCAATCTGCGACAACAACAATTGATTCATAGAAAAAGATAAGAGCTTGGTGATCTTCTGTAAGAAGGATGGACTAAAAAAAAATAAATAAATAAATAAAAAATTGCTTCGAGGAAGATTGAGCCGCGTCAATCTGTGAAGACAAGAAAGACCTAAAAACCTAGGATTTGACGAATGTGGAGTCCTCTCCTACATTCCCAGCTTATAAAGAAAAAAATTCCAAGATATTTTCCAACCATTTCCTTTTTTTCTTTTTTTTCCTTTTTTAAGTTTTGAATGTTTTTTTTAAAACAAAATGATGGATATATTTTGCTTTGGTTTTTATTTTGTTATCATTGAAGTTGTAAAGAAAAAACGATTAACTTTAAAGTAAAAATAATATATATATATATATATATATATATATATATATATATATTAGAGGGGCATAACGATAACGATAATGAAATGGTTTTCGATGTAGTCGTCTATAGGATATATCTATTTAGAAAGATAAACAAACAAAAAATATGTTGTTTGTTTCCGTATAAGCAACCAAATCATGCATAATTAGACACGATATATCATCGACAAAAAAAAAATAATGAAGTTAATAGGTTAAATAATATGGTACACGACATCATATTGAGAATATATATTAATATGATTAGAAGTGATAACATGTTCAATGTTCTTTCGGCATATCGCATATGTAAGTTTTTATTTTTACAACATTAATATGTTTATGATTATGCATCCATGACAATGATCACTAAAGTAGTAATAGTTTGACGAGTGATGTTCATATTAAGGAGGCCGATAAATTTCTTATCAAAGATATAAAAATATCTAATAATAGATTCACATCGAAAAGAGTGTTATGTGATAAGGATCCAAGATACCGAATAACTTAGTAAGTCGGCTCATGTATATATTTCAACGGTCAAATGGGCAATATATATATATATATATATATATATATATATATATATATATATATATATATATATATAATTGGTTTTCAAATAAAAAAAATATAATCCTACGAAGATCATGTCCACGATTTTAGCTGTAGGTTTATGTGGTAAGTGTAACAAGTGTTATACTCGTGTGTCGTTTTAATGCATCGTTTTAATAAAGTATACACTTATTTGTTAAGAACTGTTTTTAGATGTCTAACACCTTGATCATAGTATTTCCCATTTATGCCTTTAATATGAAATATATTTGAAAAGTTGGTCTCTTGGCTCCTTAAGTGGAAATCGCGGGTGTTCCTAGTAAATTGGGCGTACTCCAACTTATGTCGGGTGTATGTAGTTGAGGGTCAAACCCTAATTTTTAGGGTTTGAGCTATATTTAAGCATCATTGTTTTTCTAAGACCTCTTCCCTCATCATCCTCCATCTCCCAAATCGTTCCTTGCTAACCTTAACCCATTGTGCGAGCATTTTTAGCTTAAAAGTGTGCTTTTGGTAATCTTGAAGGAAGAAGAAATAAGTGGAATCAACTTGGAACCTCAAGGCATCTTGGATTCAGAAGTATCTTGCCCTCAATCTTCATGGGAGGATTAAAGCTTGGATCTTGATGTGTCATTTGGTTACATCTTGTTAGTCTAGAGGTTGTATGCATTTTGGTCCCATAGTTTAGTCTAATGGAGTATGAGCTACTCCATGTCCTTGAAATGTAGTTTCCTGTAGTTTTGAGCTTCTAGATTCATAAAAATGAGAGCTTGGACACTTTCATTAATCCATGTAAGAGTTTGGGAGTTTTTGGTGACTTTTGGACCAGGGGTTTGAGTTTTTACCCACTTGAATGCATGCAAATGGATAAAGTCAAAGACTTTATCTATTAAGACGTCCCTTGATGTTTGGATCTGAAGTTTGGTGATTTGTCTTAACGAAATAAGAGCTTAATGGAAAAAAGTTGAGGTTCAGGTACGTTGCAGGAGGTACAAGGGTTCGAGCAAGTGGTTTGCGAAGGCACCCTCTACACTAGGCGTACAGGGGAGTACGCAACGCAGGGCCTATAGCCTATCCGGTCGTCCCCGGGTGTCTTGGCCTACAACACAAAGCATGACCGCCTCAGCCCAAACCAACATGTCGATATATGCAACAAATAAGCATGAACACAAAGCCGGTAAATACAGATAATCATACGAATCTAACATATCACAACAACATAACAACATACAGTAACCAGGATATCAATTCAATGGGTCGGCTTTGGTGCCTTCGACCCTTAAGTACATTGAGGAAACCTCACCTCACAATCTGACGAATAACTGATCAATACTCTGCTCCCAAATACTGGCTCAACCCAAATCCTAAATTTCAAAACATTTCCATTCTAAATTAATAACATTTCCCCAAAATACCCTTGGTCAAAACTGGTCAAAATCAACAAGTCAATCGAGTCAACACAACTGAGTCAACTCGGCCGAGTCGACTCAGGCTTCGTACGTGGGGCGTACTCCGGAGGTACGCGGGCGTACTTGAGCTTTGACCGCAGTCGGGGTGGTTGACCATGTACGCGGTGCATACTCCAGGTTCCCAAATCCTCAACAAGAGCTTAATGCATTAAGCTCTCACGTCTAACTTTCTGATCCAAGGCTAAAATACCATTAATAGTCATAAAGTTTCCAACTTCATGACTTTGCATATCCACTAAGTGCTTAATACACAAAATCTTAATCGCTTAATGCCTTAATACCTTCTATAGCATGCATGGAGAAAAAAATTAACCATCAAGACCACATTTTTATGACTCAAGACCCCTCATAAGGTCTAAAAGGACAACTTATTTGGTCAAGAGCATGCCATGCTCAAGAATCACCATATTTGGGACTTGCCCTAAAGGAACAAATAGCTAGATCTAAAAGATTGAGTGATCAAGTTATGAACTGTAACAACCCGTTATTTTTCTAGTCAATAAAAGTCAAACCCCTTTTTAATAAAATTTCAAATTTTATTTATTTCGTTAACTTCATAAGGGTTAAAACATGTTTTAAATTATATAAATAATGTTTATAAAAGTATTTTTATTTTAGGATAAAAATACACTTAAAAATCAAAAACTTGTCTTTTGGAACCGAGAACCTCGGACCGAAAACCCTTTTCGGCTGAGAACCCTCTTTCCCGCCGAAAACTCAACCGCAATATATATTCATCCCCGAAAAATAAGTCATTTTCTCACTCATTCACTAGAAAACACTCCCATTTTTCTCTCAAGTATCATCCAAGAACATTCATACCTTCAAGAAAAATCCTTCAAATCTTCATAGATTTCACCAAGAACACCAAGAACACTCTTCAAATCTTTAAGCTGGCCGAAAACACCCTCTTAACCGAGAACACCTTAGAACCGAGAACCTGGTCCTCGGTTAAGGATTTAGGACCGAAATCAAGGATTTCGGTGGAGCCTTGACCGAAAACCCTCCTCAACACTTCATACCATTTTCGGTAATATTTACAAGAAATTCCCTACATAAATCAAGTGTTATCTAACACTTTAATTTATTATTTCACTAATTTAAATACGATTACGTGTTTAAATAATATTAGGATACCGTTATTTCACATACGCTAGCCCGAGGATCATCTCAACAGTTCCGGTATCCAGACTCTAACACGCATTATAGGTGAGTTCATACCCGTACGTCTTCACTATTTTTCAATGTTTTTAGGGGGGAGGTACAAGTAAAACACAAGGACTCCCGTGTTAATATTCAAACGATTTTCAAAACCTTTCTACTATTGATTCAAACTGATTTATCACTACCATTTATGAAAACATATTTATGTATATTTTAAACCCTTTTTGTAACATGTCGAGCAAAAGGGTACTTTTTACGAATAGCTTACTACTACTTCATATACACAGTTAAATTGCAAAGGTTTTCAGTACATTATAGAACAATACATTTAAACTATAATTGGTATAGTTTGTGAACTACTACATTATTTTACTATGTACAAGAACCGATACAAGAACATACATCCATACTATAATAGGTAGAGTTTGGGAAACACTACTCTATATTACAAATTCAAGAACACTATTCAGAAAAAAAGGATATAAACTATAGTTGGTATAGTTTATGGAACACTACTTTAATACATTAATTCAAGGATACACTACTAAATAATTACTTAAGTATAATTATTTTATATTACAAAGTACATTACTACAAGGAAATACATACAGTTTCAAGTACAAGAGAACACTACTACACTACGCGTAAACTAGTAAATACAGGGTTGTAAGGCACTACTTCAATTGTACCCCTCAGGGTACAGGTCTAAGTCCTATACAATATAACCAGAGTCTCCTGGAGGGAGAGCGTGACTTTGTGTATAGATCTATACGGGATTGACAACCCCGCACCTAAACTGTTAGCTACATTTAGGCTAGTAGGTCTGGGGTGACAAACATCATAACATTCCGACGCCTGAAGAACGTCGTAGAGGCCACTAGTAAGTTTAGCATGGTTATATGAAACTCACAATGGTATTAACTAAAACATTTGTTTACGGGATTAACACTACTTCAATGGTTATATTTTAAATAAATGAAACTACAGTACACTATACATTACAGATGATAGTATCTAGGCATACATACCAAGATTTTTCATATAAACAGTACACTACGATACATTACTACTAGTGTATAGATCTATACGAGATTGACAACCCCGCACCTAAACTGTTAGCTACATTTAGGCCGGCAGGCCTGGGGTGACAAACATCATAACATTCCGACGCCTGAAGAACGTCGTAGAGGCCACTAGTAAGTTTAGCATGGTTATATGAAACTCACAATAGTATTAACTAAAACATTTGTTTACGGGATTAACACTACTTGAATGGTTATATTTTAAATAAATGAAACTACAGTACACTATACATTATAGATGATAGTATCCAGGCATACATACCAAGGTTTTTCATATAAAAAGTACACTAGGATACATTACTACTGGTCGTATCCAGGTTATTCATACAAAGCTTTCATAACAAACACTACTACGATACACTATTTTCCGAGTATAAAGTACACTAGTACTACATCCAGTTTAGGGGAAACATACATTATATGGTTTTATTCACTAATAATACTGCATACACTACTACAGAGTACAGTAATAACATACATTTTGGACTTATGGTCTAAGGCTACAATTCATTTACTAAGAAAATATTGGA